AAAAAAAAAAAAAAAAAAAAAAAATACATAAGCATATATTGCATTATATTGTATGCTCATTCCGCAACGTCACAGCCACGAATATTTGTGGGCACCTGTGCAATTAAGGAAAAAAAAAATATATTCTTTTCCTTTCCCACTGCTATCACCTTGTAGAGTCTACGTTACCCTACCCCTCCACACACATGATTAAAATGATAGCTAAAAAGAAGAAACACAGTAAAAAAGGGACCTACAAGTTTGTACATTTACAAAAAAGGTCAAGGTGTTCTGCACAGAGGGTAGAAGATTAGGGAAAGCGTTATTCCCCCCCTGTAGGTGGGCTTGCCGGGAAGAATTCAAACAACATTTTTCCTTTTTCTTTTTTTTTGGGGTGCGGCGTGGGATTCATAGCAAGCTGCACAGCGGCAACAGCATCGACGGGAAATGTATGTATACGCTCATTGGCGCTGTGCAGCTTGGTGTCATGTACCTTTCTGGGATTACCGTTGCGTGGTTCACCGGTTCACCTAATGGGTTTTTCCTCCCTGTGGAAAATGCCCCCCACACAGGTTTATCACTCCGAAGGAGAAAAGTAACAGAACTTCTACCTTTTGACGCACTGGGTATGGAAGAGCAAAGCGAATTGGTCCCTTTGCTTACCTTTTGTCCATTCGTGTGGATGGTATTGCACAGAGTACTGCTGCTACGCAACAGGGCTGCTTCGGTTTGCGGCCCCATTTGTGTGGAATAGCTTTTCCCATGGTTATAACCCCCCACACACACACCGGGGCGAAAAGGGGGGTGAACAATTGCAGGGGACACACCATTGACGGCTGTTCAGCGCAAACGAGAATTGGGATATCGTTAGGTGGACGTAGTAAAAAAAAAAAAAAAAAAGGCAATTTTGCAGGGCAAAGCTCGCGGGAATAAATTAAGAGCACCACGTTCCACCAAACCGTTGTTACATTTCACCACTGTAGGGTCAGGTTTCTTCGGCTTATACATTGTCCTCACATTCCATGGCACAACACAACTGTTCCGTTTTTCCCTCTAGAAAAAAAAAAAAAAAAAAATTCGCTCTGTCCCATTTTGGCACGCACATGTGCACTGTCCTACGTCTGCGCGCGCGCGTTTATACGTATATACATAACGTGAGGATATTTTTTTTTTTTTTTTGTTCATTTGAAAGTTTGGCATGGAGCTTTTACACATGGGAAAACACAAATCAATTGAAAGCAACGAAATGACAATTTTTTATTTTCCATTCTACCCAAAGTAGAAAAAAAAAAAAAAAAAAAAAAAAAAAAAAAAAAAAAAAAAAAAAAAAAAAAAAAAAAAAAAAGAACTTAAAATTAAAATAAAAGAACAAGTCTTGTAAAGTTGTGTGAACATTATTTTCTGTGCCGCTGCCCCTTTTTGCAAGCTTGCCCTTTCTCCCATCGTGTGCTCACGTATGCATGCTAGACACGTTCGTGTACGCGTAAGCCATTGTGTAGCTTTTCGCTGGGCATGAAACAAGGAGGAAAGGACGAGGGGTATAGAACAGAGACGGTTCACAAGAGAGAAGAAGAAAAGGCAGGTAGCCTGTGTCTGATACATCCCCTCACCCATTTGTTGCTAACAAGAACGAGAAAAGGTAGGATAAGCGCATCGACTTTGTTTCTTTCATTCTGTACCGTAGAAGAGGAAACGTGCATGTATGTGTGTGTGGAGGGGGGTTCAAGGTATAGGAGTTTCACATGGAAAACTCACCAAAGGGGTAACAATCCCTCTCCCTCTTAAATCACGACTTGTT